ATCTCTAGATTAGTTGATTCATAAAATAAGCCTTTATTCTAATTTTATAAATAAGATAGATTTTGAAGAATAATGTATGATAAAATTAAATTTTAGATATTGGACTCTATATTAATAACATTTCTTTATAATTAGGAAATTAATTTTCGATACTTCCATCAAATCAAAACTAGTTACATTAAAATATATTAAATACTGATCGTTGACCATTTCTTGCTTTGATTTAATGATTAATTAATTATTCTAATTATTTCATTTATTTACATACAAAAATAAATGATACAAATTAAATAGACTAAATAATTTGTTTTATTAAAAATTGACTATTAAAAATAAAAAAATTATCAAGATATAACTTAATATATTTTTGTTTGTATTTCTTTAAATTATAATTTTTTAATTTAAGTAGAAATTGATTTTTATCTATTTGATTTATGACAAAAAATATATAAAATTAAAAATAATAAATATAATGAATGAAACATATTAAAATCTGGTTTAATAGTTTTTTGAAAAATTGAAAAAAGGACTTCCATAAAAGCTAAATTATTTTAAAGAGACTATTACTAAATTCTAAGGTTAAGATAAATCCTATTTTGGAGATCATTTAATTGCATTCAAATAAGGAATGTAAATCAAATCAAGTAAAATTAAGGAATTGACTTTAACAACCTTAATTGTAAATTCTTATTACATATTAGACCTTAGTATCAAAAGGCTATATTGATGGATGTTTATTAGACAATACAGATAACTTTTAATAATATGAAACAATGGAAATAACAGACACTTCAGGTAAAAAAAAAGAATAGCCAATGAATGTGATTGAATCACTAATACATTTAGTTTAATAATGCTTGGTGGAAAAAGATGAAATAATTTCATTAGCATTAAAATTATTGATATCACTTGTAATGAATCCTTATTGTAATATGTAATATCATGAGTTAACGAAAATCATTAAAACTATTGTTTATATTTATGCACAATCGAAGTCATAAAATATTGATAGATTATGCAAAAGCATTTTCTTATAAATTATATTGATAACTTTTTAAGGAAGTAATTGTGAGAGCATTGTCAAAATAACATTAGATAATATAATTAATAAAGTTTCAAATATAAAATAATGCTAATATTGTGGTAAATAAGGTAAGTTTGAATGTAGATAAAATAAAGTAACTGTGTGTTCTTATGGATGTAAGAAATATATTTAAGAAACATTGGAATTAAAATAAAAAAATTATGAAAATGCATAGAATATCTTTGATTTATTAATAAGACTCTTATCTCCGAAATAATAATTTCAATAATTAAGAAATTAGATAATTTTATTAGAGGGAATTTATTTTATATGTGATAATTATGATGTCTCAGTTGATACTTAAAGTATATACAATTTAAGTTAATATTTATTGAAGTTTTGTTTATAAAATGAATACTAATTATATTCATTAAGTTTTAAAATATTTTAAAGATTAGCATTCAGTAAACATAAAGAAATGATCAACTAAATAAATATTTTTATTAATTAAATCTATATTAGTGTTCTTATTAACAAAAATACAACAGATTAACATAAATTAACAACATTAGAATCATTATGTAATATCTTTTAAAGAAAACATGCCTCACTTGAATTTTATTTGAATTATGATTGTAGCATAAAACATGAATTTTTAATGGAAAATATCATCAATACATTGCATAATATCTTTTAACAAAATGAATAATTTAGACTAGTAATTACACAAATATATCAAGCTATTATTATGGGTATAGAATAAACCTTTAATGAAAAAGCTATCATTAATTCTTAATAAGAATAATAATAGCCTTAAGATATTGATGAAACTGTATTTATAAATTAATTAGAGATGTAAAGATAATAAAAATAAGAAATATAAAAAGGAGTAGAAATCTTCAAAAAAAATCCTGAAAAAGGAGTATCATTTTTAATAAAAGCAAATATTTTATAAGATGATCCAACTTCAATTGCTAGATTTTTAATTGAAAATAAAAGTTTACCTAAAGAGTCTGTTGGATAATATTTAGGTGGTCATCATCCAATCAATATATAGGTATTAAGTGAATATACCAATTTTTTGAAATTTCATGATTTATCAGTTGAATAAGCTTTAAGATAATATTTAGATTTATTTACTTTACCACCTGAATCTTAATAGATTGATAGAGTTGTATAAAAGTTTGCAGATAAATTTTATGAAGATAATTAAAATAATTAGAATTTTCATTTTAAATCTAGTAGCAGCATTTATACTTTTACGTATCTTTTAGTTATGTTATAAACTGATTTGCATAATCCAAAAGTTGTTGAAAAAATGAAATTAACAGATTTCATTAAATTAGCTAGATAAATAAATGATGGAGAGGATTTACCATAAGAATATCTTACTATAACTTATCAATCAATTTAAAAAAATCCCCTTGCAGTTAGAGAAACTAATACACCTATGAATTAATTAACACCTAATTAATATTAGAAATAGATGGAAGAACTTTTAAAGAAGATTAGAGAATTAATAAAAAGATAATCTAATTCTAATTATATTTAAATTGATTAAGAAACAATTTTATTATCAAAGGGTCTTCTTGAATCATTTTCAAACAAATTCTTAGATATATTATTAGTTACTTATGAAACTACTCCTAATGGTGATAATTTAATTAAAAGTATTCTTTAATTAATTAAATTGTCTTCAAAATTATCTATGAAAATAGAGAATCTTGTTTAAGATGTTTTAAAAGTAGGTTTAAATAGTTTAAAAAAAGGAAGTACTATGTTAATGATTGGTTTATTATCTATAATTCCAACAATTGGTAATTCATTACATGAATAAGGATGGAAATGTGTTCTAGAGGCTTTAAGTTAAATGGATGAATTAAGATTATTAGATTCAGATCATACAGAAAAAGTCTTTATGTGTTCAAAAGATTTAGATAATTAATCTATTGAGGAATTTATTATTTAACTATGCTAATTATCAAAATATGAAATCTTTTAAAAACATCGTATCTATTCATTATAAAAACTTGTTGAAGTTAGTGATTATAATATGGATAGAGTAAAAGTAATATGGAATAGATTATGGTCTATTGTAAGTTAGCATATTTAAGAAGCTGTTTCATTTAGAGTTAAAAAAATAACTATATTTGCTGTTGATTCATTAAAATAATTAAATATAAAATTTTTATAAAAAGAAGAATTGTATAATATACAATTTTAAAGAGAGGTATTAACTCCATTTGAATTAATTTACAATAATAGTGATTTCGATGAAAAAGAGTTTGTATTATTATGTGTAAAACAAATCCTTTAACATAGTAAAACTTATATAAAAAGTGGATATAAAGTAATATTTAATTTAATTAATCTTGGATTAAAAGAAGAAAATGAAATACTTTCAAAATTAGCATTTGATTTATTAAAATTTATAGAAATATAAGAATTGATATTAATTGATTTAATATAAACATATTAGATATTAGGTAAAAAAGATAATGAAAATATGGCAATAAATTCAATTGAATTTGTAAAATAATGCTAACGTTTTATGATAACTTAAGAGTAATAAACATTATAGGTTCCTCTTTTAGGAATTCTATCTAATTTAGCAGGTGATAAAAGAATTTAAATATAAACTTAAGCAGTTGAAACATTATTTTATATTTTAGAAGAGAAAGGTAGTTTATTTAATGAAGAATATTGGATTATGATATTTTCTTCTGTATTGAGACCCATATTTGATGAAATTTAATTTACTTTAAGTACAAATCCAGAATTAAATTAATATTGGTTTAAAGATAGTTGTCAAAAAATATTTTAAAATATTTCAAGTTTAATAAAGAAACATTATACAAAATTAAAAGGATAATTACCAGATTTTCTGAAATTATTTTAGAATTGTATTCAAAATTAAAATGAAAAATTAGCTTAATTAAGTATTTAGGCATTTAAAATGATGATAATGGAGAAAGGTTTATAATTTGAATAAAAAGATTGGGAATTAATATTATTATTTATTTAATAAATGCTAAAATATACAATACCAACTAAACTTAAAGATATTGATTAATCTATTATAAAATAAGAATAATAATTTAGTCGAAAACTCTAAAGATAAAAATCATTATAAAGTGTTACCAATAATATTATTAATGAATGTTATAGTCAATGTGCTGCCTAATTATTATTAATTTAAACAAGTAAAGATATTTGTGAACTTTATCATCAAAATTGGAATCTTAATTAATTGGATAATCTAGAAAATACATTTTATGAATCATATTAATTTGCAAAATTATTTAATTAATAAATTGAACAAAGATACAATATTTGGAAATCAGGATTTATGCAAGATATGAATGTATTACCTGGTTTACTTAGACAAGAAAGAGAAGCATTTTCTTGTATGATAATGATTATATAATTTAAAATGGAGATTTTAAAATAAGAATAATTAAAAATATAAAAACTTAATTAATAATAATCAAATGAAGAATCATTAATAAAAGAATAATAATTTAAATAATAATATGAAATAGTTTTAAATAGATATTTACAAATATTATTAGATTCAATTAAATAATTTAATTCTAAACATATCTAATTTATTAATTAATAATAAGAAATTGGTGAAGATCCTCTTATTAAAATTAAATAATATGAAACAGAAAGAGATATGTAAAATCTTAGAACATTATTAGATGTTTCTATTTTACCAAAAATATTATTATTAAGTGATTAAGAGGTAATATTTATTTTATTAATTTAGATTAAACTCAAATTAAATGAATTTTATGAATAATTATTGAATGCATGTAGTTTTGTAAGTGAATATTGTGTATTATAAATGGGATGTTAGGATTGTAAAAAATGTATTAGATGTTTAAATTAATAAAAGAATAATTTATTTTTTCAAATTAAGAAATGCTTACTAAAATTGTTTGAGTTAAAATGATTATATATTATTATAAAAATGGATTAAATATTTATTTCTGGTATTGCAGGAGGCTCAGCAGGAATCATTACAGATTTTATCTTTTTTCCTATTGAAACAATCAAGACAAGAATCTAAGCATCAAATAATAAAATTGATTATTTCAAAACAGCAGCCAAAGTAAATAAATATAGAGGAGTATAGCCATCTTATCTATTATTTGAAGCTTTTATCATAAATTACAGTCTCCTTTCCATCAGCATTTATATTTTTCTCTACTTATGATACATCTAAAAAATATGGTTGTTCACATATGCTAGCAGGAGCATTAGGTGAATTTGTAACAAATATTATAAGAAATCCTTTTGAAGTTGTTAAAAATTAAATGCAAGTAGGATTAGATGCTAATGTAAGAGACACCTTGAGATCAATTTATTATGGATAAGGATTTAGAGGTTTCTATGCAGGATTTACTACAATAATAATGAGAGAAATACCATTTAGTGCAATTCAATTTCCAATATATGAAAATATGAAAATACACTTTGGAAATGATGGATTTGTAGATCATGCTTTAAATGGTGCTGTAGCAGGAGGTACTGCTGCTTTTTTAACAACACCATGTGATGTTGTGAAATCTAAATTAATGACATAAAGGAATCAATTTTATGATTCTCTAAGAGGTTGTGTTAAGTCGATATATGAGACAGAAGGAATTCTAGGTTTCTTCAGAGCTGCACATATTCGAACAATGTAGATCTCAGTATCTGGAATTATATTTTTTAGTGCATATGAAAGATGTAAATTTTATATTTCTTCATTCAATAATAGATCATGATTATAGCTTTTTATCTAGATATTCTAATAATGAATAAGAATTTAGAAAATATTCTAATCTATTTCTCATATAGTTTTCTGTATGTCTTATTCTTTTCAATTATAAATTTCTTTATAATTACATCAAATTCTCCATACTATAAGATGTATGATATTCACTATTCTTCTATAGTCTATACATTCCTTGCCTTTAAATTCTATTTACTAATTCATTAACAAGAATATCAATAATATTAATATACTTCATTCTATCTTACTTTATTCAAGGCTAAAATTCAGAATTTTTTAGTTATTAGGTGAAAATTTAAGAATTTTACAATTATTATTATAATAGTTTCTTTTATTATTAAGCTATGAGTTTAATATTTTGATTAATGGATCTTTCTGAATTTTAATTCATAACAAAGAGAATATATTTATTTTTACTTTTTTTGATATGAGGATTTCTTTAACTAAATAAAAACTATCTGTATAATTTAATGAGATAGTTGTAAAAATTTCCAATCATGTATAGCTTCACTTATTAAAAATTATTAATAATTTATATCTAAACAAAATTCGATCTATAAATTTTGCACATTTTAGGATTCAAAATATAACCATCTAACAATATTTTTAGGTTTAAATGAATTTTTTATTTCTTTGAAATCTAATCTAATTTTGTTTAAATAATACACACAATAAATAGGGGGAATATTTTATGATTATGAAATGGTTAGAGTAATCTTGATATTCCTTAAACAATTTAGGAAACAACTAAATGAGTATAAATGTATTTATTCAATTTTTTAATAAATCATCAGGTATTGATTTAACCTTTACAAATTTAGGGATTATTTCAATGTAATAAATATTCATATTAATAAAAAAATATGCAATAGAATCCTTTATAACTATTATTGAGTTTATTAGCAGCCAGAGAGGAAGTTATATTTATGCTCAGAGTAATTGGCCATTAGATGCATGAAGATTGCAGAAATAAACTAGGAACATTAAGAGAAATATAAGATGAAATCATTAGAGGAGAACAAAAAAGGGAAAATTTAGAACATTATTTATTTTAGAATTTAAACGAAGGCTATCGCAAACTATTTCTTCCTAAAATTATTTAGAAATATACCAAAATAACTTAATATTATTTAGTCAAAACTCAGGTATTTATTTTTGAATGAAGTAATAGATATACTTTCCAAATTAAGGATAGGTAATTTGTTAGGAAGTAATAAATTAACCAAACTTAAGGAATTCCATCTCACATATTCTTTAAGAATCACTTGTAACTATACTGAAATTTATTTGTAATCTCTAAAAACAAAAACTAAAGCACGAACTTGCTCAAATGTTCAATTATGAATAGTATAAACCTATTTAAAATCAAGAGAGGACCGTTGTAATAGAAATGAAAAGTTCTATTCTGAACCACTCATCCTAGGAGTAATCGGATTACGTTATTTGAATGAATTGCATAAAAAATACTGTTATTCTGTTTGTAAACATAATAATAGAAATGTTTATGATGTTCTTTTTTTAGATGATAATACAAAGCAATTATATCTATATGGAGGAGGTAAAAATTAAATAATATAATTAGGATTTTCTAGTCTTATTAGTAGTATAACAAAATTAAAAGATAAATCTGTTGATAACACTTAATCAGTGTATATACCTGTTGAAAGCACACTTGAAATAATTACATAGAGATATGAAAAATTACTTAAAGAAATAATGGATTAAAACTATCATGTTCAAAAATCTGTAAATAAGTATTATGATTAATACAAAAAATATAAAATGAAGCCTTTATTAATAAAGGGTTATGTTACTCCAAAAAAACAAGGATAAGATTTTAAATCTTAAAGAATTTAAAAAAGATCAATTGAATCTGGTCCTATGTTAAGTGATATGGGAAGATATTCTGAACCTATTAGTAGAAATCCTTTAACTTAAGATTCTTTAAATTCAGTAAGATCAAAATAAGCAAAGTTTAGAACATAAAAATAAAGCGATATTATTCTAAGTGGATTTATATCACCGAAATAATAAACTATAATCAGAAAACATAGAAGTTTAAAAAATTATGATCCATCTTTATTGAAACCAACAATCTTATAAAATTTTTATGATTCTAATATAAGGATTAATCATAACACTAAAAAACAAAATTGATTTTCATAAATATATATATACATATGTCTCATCTATTGATAAAATTTAATATTTGTTAAATCAAATATAAATCATAATTTTATAATATCTATTTTATTTTTCTCATTTATATAATTTAATTAATCGAAAATTCAATTCATTAATAATAATATAAAATATATAATTAGAAAGTATTTTTAGAATTAATATTAGAAAAATTACATCATACACATTAAATACATTATATACAATTAAATAATTTAGTTTATGATATATTTTTATCTAATTTTTACATTTCAAAACTTTGAGATATAATTTACTATTTTGAGAAAATTACATTCATCAGTTGAATATTATTGATACATTCTTAAAAAGATGATTGTGTATCATTAAAGTAATAAGAATATTATTATGTTAATTGTAATACAATTAATGAATGTTGAATTATACCTACTTCAAGCTATTTATGTTTAATTATCATTTTTTCATATCATCATCAATGACAACATCATTTATGATGATCAATTATTTTTATATTAATATAGATTACTATAAAATTCTAATTTGAGTATGAATAATTACATTTTTAAGATATAAAAATGATTTAATGTATTTCAAGACAATCAGACATCATAGTAATTAATTATAAAATATTAATTGCGAAAAAAAATAAAAAATAATGAATCAAAGTCGCAAATAGTAGAGTCTCCAAAAATCAAAGACTTAAAATATTTAAATAGAAAAGAAACACATTCGATCCAAGCATTAAGAGAAAACATACTCAAAAGCAATTCACCCTTCGAACTTATAATCATAACCTTTTTCTTTAAAAAATTTAGATTTAGCCTTACCTGACAAGTATTCATATAGATTAATATACTTAGTTCCATATCTTAGACAAATAATTCATTTTAAGATGATAAGAGTTGTTGTTGTATTGATTGTGGCAAGTTAAGTAAGAAGGTCAGAAATTTACAGAAGAGATTCACAGTGTTTAGGACAGAAATGTAAGTTTTGAAAAGGTAAAGATTACTTAAGAGATTTCAAAATGCTGTTCGTTGTATTATATTTCTCAAAGAAAAATGGAAGAAAATAAGATAATAAGAAAGAGCTAAAAGGTTATTTAGGTTTAAAACAAAAGTTTTTGAGAATTAGCCTTTCTTTTAATCTTAAACACCATCTAATTAAGCATAATTATTATTTCTTAATTCCTAACTTCAGAGCGAAGAAAGATAAACAATAAATTCATAATTATAATCTATTTAAGTTAAAATATTTGATTAAAAGAACAAATAAAGATAATCAGTAAAGTTATATTTATAATAAAAATTGAATAATAAAAATGAGCAATAAGGATTGCTTCCTAAATTAGATTCTAATAGATAAAATAATTCAATATCCAGTTCAATATTCAGACCTATTAGAATACTTAAAACTTTAGGGGATGAGCAAAAATCACTACAGAAAGAATAAAATTTATCAACTTAAAATCCATCAGTAGCTCAGTCTCCATATCTAAGCCATTTGAGTGTATATAAATAATAAGATTCATAATTCTAAGTAATCAAATCGCCAAGATAAGTGATTAAAAGTTTTGCTTCAGAGACATTTTATCCTTAAAATACTTAGAAACATGATTAAAGAAAAATAATGGTTTAAAAACTAAAAAGAATAGAATGATTAAATTTGATAATAATTAATATTTAATAAGTTAATACATTTCCTGTTTTTATGAATTTTATTTCTTATTATCAAATCATCTTGTAAATATTTAAATATTATAAATTAAAATAAATATTATAGTATGATAACTAAAAGGGTTAATTTAATTAATGAGCAAATGTGTTCTTAAGATTCGAATAGATATTGCAATTAAATTATTTTATAATAGTAAAAATTTTTTAAATATTTCTAATTCAAAATGACATTAAATTTAATTAACCATTTGAAATTTAAATACATAAATTGAATTTTTGCTTAAAGTGAGGTAAACATATAATAATTAAAGAAAAATTAATTAACTTTGATATAAAAAAGCTAAATTTATATTAAATTTATTACATTTGTATAATATTTTAGAAAAGGTTTAAGCATCTTTATCGTTTTCAAAGAGATTTTTAGTTAATTCTAATTGATGATGATTTATATTTGATTATTATTGAATGATTAATTAATTTATTAAAAATGCAGAGATCATATTAAGAACAAGTGAATTAAAAGGATTATTAGCATAAATTATATTTCAAAAATGGTTATCCTTAGAATTAACAGTTTAAGAGAGATCCAAATTAATTGCTTAGAGGATTAGTACAAAATTTATAAGATAATTAGGTTGTAAAAACATGTTTACTTCACTTTATTGATTGGTTGAAACAGGGATTTAATTTGTGGTTGTTTATAGTAATAATTCTATCAGCCAGTTTCAGAGCCGAATAATAATTGTTTATGTGTATAATATAATTGGCAGGAAATTTATTCATGTCATCTTACAAGTTATATCAATAGATTTGTAAGGCTTTGAGATAAGTAAATGAATATTTTAATTAAACTGTATATGTGATTGGATGGGATCCAAAATGCCATATCAGTAAATGTCCTAAAAGAAATGTGACAGTAGGTAATTTGATTTTCTTGAAGAGACATCAACCAAGTCCTATGAGCATATTAATTTTGAATTCTTAAGAGGAGAAATTTATGGTGTAAACATCTGAAAAAGAAGGAATGACTCATATGACGTAAAAACAATCAATAAAATTAACATCTACTTCTGATTAATAAAAAAATCAAACTCTAATCTATTATAAGAGAATAATGACAGGTAAAATAGAATTTGATCAATTGGACACAAATGACAAT